TATTATCCCCTTTTAGGATGACATGGCAAACCATTTTCACATTTAGCAGACATGGGGCAATGTTAGCATTATGTATAGTCGTGTCTCTGGCCACCAAGGAAATGCAAGTAGTTTTGAGCATCGGTTAAATTTGGGTGATATGATGTCCTGCTTTTTTCAGTTTTGTATCACTGTGAATTTAATACCATTGGACCTTTGACTGAAAGGAGGTTTTCACATATGGCCTCCAGACAGGGAATCCGGTCCAGATACTGTCTGGAGTTGCCCTTTCACACATGTATCACACAGCAGGAGACTGTCCATGTCAGATGTTTTTTTTATCTACTGGAAATACTCAGTTTGGTTTATGTGAGGGGTGGCGCCTGAGAAGAGTGCACAGGAGGTGGGACATGATGCAAAAAGTACATGGTCACCAGACAAGTCTTTTGCAGTTTCTTGAATTTGGCTGACTGTGTCAGCTCTTAATGATATAAACTCCCAAATCTTGTCATCTCTCCAGTTAGACATTTTTTGTTGGAGTTTTTGTGTAAATGACTTTTCTTCTTAACCCTTAGATATTTGTATTTTTCCAGTCTCGTGCCAGTTGCATGAAGAATTGTCATCAACGCGGCCACTAGTTTGGTGTAAATTTTCCAGACAGTATCCTCATAAGTGGGCTCAGTTGGACATTACGCAGACTGTGCATCAAAGACCTGGCAGGATAAAGTCAGTTTTATGTCCAGGCCAGCTGATTCTGACATTTGTGTTGTTATGTACAGCTTCCCCGGGTAATGTCTGGATAGGATCAGGGTTGCAGTGCATGTCTGAAAGGGGCTTTAGTCGGACAAAATGAGCAGTTTGGAGGCATCATGTAAGACAGTAGAAATATGGATCTTTTTCTCTATTTTATAGACAATGCATGAATATTGTCAAGCATATGGAGGCATTTAGTTGTAAATATTGTAATACTTGAACTCTTTAAATGTACCTAAATGTACAGTACTGGCTAAAAGACAGGGTATCTACTGTATGTGCTCACTTTGTAAATGCTGCTCACTTGTGATCTCACTCATTGAGTGGTGAAACAATCGGCTGCTCCCAGGGGTATCTGGTGGCACATACCTCCAATACTCCACAACTGAAGTTCCATATTTATAGACGGCAACAGAGCAGCTCACATATCCCCACATCACAGCTGTTTGCATTGCAGTGTTGGGTGTCACATAGCTGCCCGGTGCTCCTGTGGTTGTCACATTAAAACAGAAGATAAACAAACAGCAGCATTTAGTTTATTTTTTTTGCACCCTTGGGAGAAGGCATTTCATGTTTTTATAGGAGCTGCTGGTTATGATGCTGTGTATAGAGTTGAGCTTTATAAAGACCGGAGGAAGTAATATGACTAATAGTAGGGAAAAGGAGAGGGAGAGAGAGAGATTAGTGGAGGGAAGGATTAGCTGGGAGTCTACAAAATAATGCCAAGAACAAAAGAAGGCAGAAAGACAGAGGTATGACAATGGAAGGATGGAATTAGGTTTGGGGGAAAAAAAAAGAATAGCTGAGGACAGAGTGGAGTGGAGTGGACAAAACGAAAATAAAAAGGGACTGTCTATGGGAGTTTGCTACTAGATATAATAGTACTGTATGTGAGAGAGGACTGGTGGCTTTTTGCAGACACACTGAGAGCTGAGGTTGTGGGAGGGAGAGGGAGAGAGAGGCCAGCACAGCTGAGTGGTGTTGATTGGTCTGTTTGAAAACACATGAACTGCAGATGGAGAGTGAGAGAGAGCGAGAGAAGCTCTGTGCACTCAAAGTGTCGCTCTGCAGCGTGCCGTGCTGCAGCCCAAACCACATTAGAGCAAATGAATCCATTCCACCTTCTGTTATGGCAGCTCTCACACAGGGCCCCAGGAAGGAGGAGGAGGGAGGGAGGGAGGAAGAGTGGCAGGAGGGTTGAGATATGAGGGACGGGGAGAAGAAAATGATAGAACGGAAAATGTAAGGTGGTAGGAAGGAGTCACATGCTGGATAGCTCTAACGATGTCTGATGGCTATAGACAAGGGAAGCCAAAAGCACCTGGTAGTGAGAGAAAGGAAAGCTGTGGCTGTATAACAGAAGACGAGGGAGAGAGAAGATCCTCTACTGTGTTCACTGTGCAGAAGTGATAGTGAAGTTCTCCTTTGTCAGGCTGTTGCTAAATAATGAAGACGATCTCTGGCCAGTTGCTCTTTTACTAAATTTTACATACAGAATTTTAAATTAGAATGGCACTTAAGATTGGATTGTTTCATAGCACTGTATGAAAACCCATGATAATTTATCATAAACACATCACTGTCCTTAACATTGTCCTGGTAATATATGTACTGATGTCAGAAAATACTCATATTAACATTGATTCTGGTTCTGACCATGTTACCCAGCCCTGATCCTAATGGACTCAACTGTCTGATTACATTTGTGAAGCAAGCTGCACTTGACAAAGGTGGAATTCATTTATCTGAAATGAGAAATCACTGAGTAATCATAAGCTTCATGCATGTGTGCATGAATACGTGCGCGTGTGTGTTGCTGCAGATATTAAAAAGATCATTTCAAAACTCTCTTTTGTTCTTTCTCTGCCCCCCATTTGTTTGGCTCAGGCAAGAAAGAAGGAGGGATACTCAGAGTGAAAGAGTGCATGCATGTGTTTTTGGAGATGGTGAGGGGAAAAAAAAACGGAAGCTTCCTCAGATGTTAGTATTATTTGTGGTTTGTTACTTTTCTGTGATTCATTGCAGCGTCCTCCCACTCCTGTTTAAACAGAGGTTATAACATGCACAGCATAATTGGACGTGTAATCCTTTGCTTTGCACTTCTGGTAAGCAGTGCTGAGTGGATCTGATTAAGATGTTTGGAGGACAACAGATTTATCCTCGGGATGTGCATGCTTGAACAACAATGGCAGTAGCCGAAAAACTTGAAAACAGAAACTAGAAATCTGAAAAAGTGGAGAAAAGTCACACATGTCTACTGACTTTTATTATAAGTGAAGGCAGGGAAGTCAACATTTTGCTCACTTTTCAATTTGATTCTCTTCTGAGGATGAAGGATATAGATTAGTGTGTTTTATTTTGGTATCAAACGTTGACTGGGTGAGATTATGGAGCAAGAGGAGGGCTTCTCCCATGCTTCCACGGAAGCATCGTCTGTTATGCAACACATTTTTACCCCGAACGTGTCTGTCAGGCATTCAGGTGGACTGACTCCTTATTTCACTTACAGCTGAGCACAGCCTGGCTGGACAGTTGCATTTTCACCACACTCATATTCCTTTGAGATCCTGAGGTCCTGTGTTTTCATTGACCATTTAAAGCTCTGCTCATTTGTTGGAGGAGGTGTTGGATGTGTGTGCATGCGGGTGTTGGACTTTATTAAAGCACAACACAAGAAGGGGTGAAAACAGTGGAAATTCTTGTGTAAAAGAGGCAGCTGTCTCCATCTCCTCCAAACCTCTTTCTTCCTCCTCATTCTTGCCTGTGTGTGTGTGTGTGTGTGTGTGACAGCAGGAAGAGGAGCTGGAGGAGAAGCAGATAATCAATATAGTCAAAAGGTCAGATGACCAACGCAGGGCCTGAGAGTGCCCTGTTAGCTGTTCACGGAGCTGTCTGGCTGCTGAAAGGGATTTGTAGCACTTGTCAGGGTTTAGGAGCCCTCACTGGACCACTCACTCCGGGTGTAATGTGTGAAAAGGGACACGCTGGTTAGCAGCAGGAGAGGGAGACATCTTCTGGACACTGGGAGACACCACAGCGCACCAGAACCAGGCCACCCAGTGCTGTGGCCATGCCGTGTGTTGTCAGAGCGGCTTTGTGCCCCACAGGATGTGAAGTTAGCTGTTTTTCAGGGGCTTTTCACAGATAGTCATCATCATGCCCATGTGACCTGACCAGAGGCGTTTGGCTGCCCACTGTTTGACCACACCTGCACAAGTATTCTCACCTCACTGGTGTGAGAAATGTATCCACTGATGTCTAAGACTTTGTAAGGGCACTCCAGGTACTTCTGCTCTGGTAACACTTAAGCTCAGAGGATTAGAAATACACTCTTATTCTCAAAGTGTTCCTTTGAAGTTTTACCTTTACGCTTAATCAAAGTGAAGAATTCGAGCTTTTGTGCTTACATGCTCTTAAGTGTGTGTGCGTGTAAGAGAGACAGAGACAGAAGAAGAATGTGTATACTTACATTATTCTTTCTAAGATAAGCACAGCAGACCGAGCACTACACATGAAAACCCTCTAAGCTGAGAACTGTGCTTCATTCTTTCACTCTGTTTCTCACACCGGGGGATCTTGGGGGACCCTTTATCAGTACTGAGCAGCTTTCTAGAGCCTTGCCACACCCACCTGTGGTTTCTCAGTTTGCCTTTTATGTGGAGGAATGTGAGGCGGATCAACACTGATGGAGATAAACACGGAGGAATTGTGAAGGACAAAGGCCTCACTGGAAAACCAGTGCGATACTTATTAATCCAGCCCTAACCCATTTGTTTCGAGATAGAGTAGTGAGCATAGGGCGGAAATTGTTCTTGTTGCTGTTTGGATTGTTGGACCAGAACAAGATGTACGCAGGAAGAAAGTGATGCTGTAAAACTGATACTTATCTGCTGGTAGATGTGGGCATACATATGTTGTCTATGCCACACACTGATATCGTTGACTGTGAGCTGTGTTTCATCTGAAGCAAGATGATGGTTGGGGTCCTTTCTCAGTTCTAGTGCTAGTTTTTTTTCTTCCATAAAGCAAATAAAGTTTCAAATAAAGTCTCATTTTCATGCATTTGCCAAAAAAAAAAAAAAACCCCACTTCGGGCAGATCATGTCCTTACATGAGTCGGTGCTTAAACAACCTGGCTTCCTTGTTTGACAATTTGTCATGCTGCTAAAATGCTCTTTGAACTTCACAGACTACAATCTCTTCAAAGCGGTGACCTGACAGAAACCTGTTCTGACTCATGCACCTCTTTTTCGCCTCTTATTTTACAGAGTAAATACCTTTTAATGGCGTCCCGGTAGAGACATCAGGATGAACACGTTACCATCAATGGACCGGCACATCCAGCAGACCAATGACCGTCTGCAGTGCATCAAACAGGTGTGTACAAAGACCCATGCAGACATGGATTCTAGAGGCAAAGACAGAAGAATAGGAATTCTTCTACTTTTCTCGACTCCTTTCAGCACCTTATATGGATATCAGTTTTTTGGCCATTAGCTCCAGTCGCACAGTTCACGTTGTACTGGGTCATGGAGAGAGGGAAGGAAAGGGAGGAATATCTGGCAGTGAACACAAGAAGAGACTTCAAAGAAACTAGCAACATAACAGACTCTACTCCTCTCTCTCTCTCTCTCATTTTTTTTTTTTTTTTTGCTCCTGGTCCTATGCTTCCTTGCATAACGTTCCTGACTCTTGACATATGCCAGCCCTTGTGATTTTTCTTAAATACCTCCTTGACTGCCAGATTTCAGGAGACTCCTCACAGACTGATAGACTGAAAGACACAGCCAGACAGACAGACAGACATAACCCAAGGCTACCGCCTCTGCTTTCGTTCACTAGTCTGTAAGAACTTGCTCACTGGTTAGCTAGCTGGCAGGCTGTGAGCTCATTTGTTTATGCTATGTGGGTGTGATCCTTTATATCTCCCAGTATCCATGTGACACCTTGCCTTATAGTGAACCAGATAATAATTGGGCTTTGAGCTCATGATTATGAGGTGACATACATATGTATCTCTGTTTCTGTGTTCCTACTAATACCCCAGCCCCCCACCACCACCGCCAGCTTCTTTCTTAGGCATCACTGATAAGCTTCAAATAGCTTGAGTTAGCATGTCTTGCTTAATAAATACACTAACTGTAGTTTGGGTTATGTGCTCCTCAACTCTCGCTGTAATAGTGCTTATAGTAAAACAGACTGAGTTAGACAGTGAGTCCTGAGCTCGTGGTGACTCGGCCAGCAGGGACATGTTTTCGTTTGGGGAAAATCATAGGCACAGAGCCAGGTTTTATGCTGCTTGTCATGATACCAGGTAGGCACTAAACAGCTTGATCCTGGCCTGGCCTGAAAATGAGCAAGTCAAGTTGTCATTTCACAGAGAGCAGACTGTGAAATGTCTGGCTCTTTGTCTGCTGAGACCCAATTTCTGCTGCTGCTCAGTCCCCCCACCCCACCTCACTGTTCATAACCTCATCCAACCCTGAACAGCAACAACAACAAGAACAGCTCAGGCCCCATCCTCCTCCCTAAATTCAGCAGAGCTGTTTCACTCAGCTGTCCTCCCCCTCAAACCAGAGTCGAGGTTGTTGGGCAGAGTCGATGGCGAGCGCTGTGGCAGGAGGAGCTATGAGTTTAGATCCAGGCAGACAGTTCCCGCTGTGCTAGTTCTGATTCCTCTCGCGCTGGAGGCTGATACGCCTCCCATCAAGCAGCAATAATGCCAGATTATATCACTCATCTAGAGCAGGCTCTTCTCCTCCCTCTCACTCAACAAGAGCATCTCTCACTTTCTCTCACTCTCCCTGCTTCTCTTCATCATCAGTCAACCCCCTGTGAGAGTCCACAGCTAATTCCATAATGGCTAATCTTCACATCACAAAAGATGAGTCACTCAAGGCCTCTCTTGAAGCTTACGATACCACTGGGAGCGCTCAGGGATTTTCTCTGTGGAGCCGGTACCAGGCCTGACACGTAGGGCCACGTTCGCACCGAAGGGCCCCTTTGTCACTTACTGTAGAAAATCTGCCCTTTCGCAAACCCTCACCTCTGCTGCCCCCTAAAGACAGTCGTTCTACCTTTTCTGCAAGAACACACAAAACAAAATGCTTCAATTCCAGATGAGAATAATAAATGCTTTCAAGTGGGCTCAATCTCGCTGACTGAACAAGCTGCAGCTCTGTGCTGTTTCAGAGCTATTAACCTCCTGAGCTGTGAAGAAAGGGAGAATTTTAAAACCGCTTATTGTGTCCTGCCAGCCTGAGGAGCCTTCAGACACTGGGAAGAATAGACTCAACTGTTTCAGGCCTCAGTGAACAAGCGGGAGAGACAGACAGAGCCTGAAAGAGATTAGACAACACACGAATGGCGTGTATTGAGTCTGCACACATAGCTGCCAGGACCAAGGTTGTTTTCTTTGTGCACAGCCAAAGCCAGCCAGTGGACTTCTGGTGCCGAGGCTCTGTTACAGTCTGAAAACAGGCAATGAATGAGAGGGAGAGAGAGAAGGATTAGAGGGAAAGATTTGGTTGCTGTGTGGGTCATGGGGGTGAGGGCTGGGTATTGCCAAGAGTGATTAACAAGAAACACTGCCATCATTGTTGATATGGGTGTGATCTTCTTTCCACAGTACAGCAGAGCTTTGAGTGGGTGTACACGGGAAGGAGTCAAGGTCCTCACAGGGTTGTGCAAAAACACAAGACATTAAATTAAGGCAGTTTGGAGGCAGAGCTCAAGGCTGCAAAACTATTTGGTGTCAGTATTTTTCCAATTTGTATTTAAAGTGGACAAAAAACCTGTCATTATTTCCTATTGTTTCTAATGGCGCTGTCTTTTCCCTATGTTTGCACAGCACTTACAGAACCCGGCCAACTTCCACTCAGCAGCCACTGAGCTGCTCGACTGGTGTGGAGATCCCCGGGCCTTCCAGCGACCTTTTGAGCAAAGTCTCATGGGATGTCTTACGGTACGCAAGTGCTTATTATGGTTTTCATTTGGTTTTTCAGGTACTTTTTAGGAGACATGAGCAAAACAATAATTAGATTTTGGATCCTCAGGAAAAACTGATGTGTAGATATGTCTGCCTTTGAGGCTTTTAGCCTGCTTTACTGCTAGACAATGCAGTCGCTGGAAGAAGATATGGTTAAACCTTTTTTCCTTACAAATTCTAGTAAAAACAGTTAACAGCAAGCTGTAGTTACACCACGACTGTAAGCTACATTTATCCAAGGCAGCTGCTCAGGTCGTCAGGGGCCAGTGACAGGGGGCCAGTCCTCGTCACCCACTGCTTCTCACCACTTTGTGCTCGACAACACACACACACACACACACACAAGCACACACAAAAAAAGCTTGAACATGACTGCGGGTAGCCGGTCACCTCTGGCTATCACCTTTCAGTTCACCAATTGCCACTTATCAACCTGGACACCAGGCCAGAGAGCTGAAGTGCAGCAGGTATGCAAAAAAAAAAAAAAAGCACATACACATTTGAAAGAGGCTTTGGAGGAGAACTGGGAGTTTTACACATTTATCACTAAGATCAGTCTTTGAAACACTAAGGGAGCATTGTCCCGAGCTGAAGTGGTAGCGTGAGCAAACAGATAAATGCTCATTAATGTGTAAATCACAATAAAAGCCTCTTAAAGGCTCGTAAAGAGCTATGCAGTTGAGCCCACCACTGAGCTCCCTCTCGGCAGGGGGCTATTTCCATCAGCTAAATTGTTTCATCAGACTCAGAGAGCAAACAGCTTCTTATCTGGAGAATTACAGCATGCAACAAGTCTGTTCATTCTTTTAGGGATTCTGTCTTCATGGCGATACCTCCATGCTAACTGTACATGTCATTTAAAGATGACTGTGCATCTATTTCAATCATATCCCATGAGATTTATCATAGTTGAATGACGTGCCTCATTTGGAGGTGCCTATTCCCTCTGGCATGTTGTACAGGTAGGGGTCACCCTCCAGTCCCTGGTGGGGTCTCAGCTCCAGAGCCAATGAAAGATGACATAACAGAGCTGTCAGTAGTTCATAATAAGCTCTGTCTGCTTCACAGTGTCTGGGCTTATTTATCCTTCTATCTACATCTCTATTAACTCAGCACACCTTGTTCTAAAATCACCAATGTAGTTTAGGAGCTGCCTTTCGCATACAACAGTTTAAAAACAAGCAGAAGTAAACTACAAAACAGATACTTTGTTTCGCCAGCAAACTGATAACCAGGAAAACAACTGACCCAGTGACCCTCCATCACCCCTTAGAGCACTGGATTCATGTTGACAGGAATACAGGCCTGGTTGCAGCTACATTCTCAGAGGGAGATTAAACTGAAAAAAGCCTATGAGGTGAAACACTGTTAAATCTGTGTTGAATCTATGTTAGCCTCTGTATCTGGCCGCCTGCCTTGTACAAATTGCAACACAGGCTCAGCCATGCAGGAAATTAAACAATGGACAACAGCATGATTGGACCTTTTGTCAGAATCATTTGAATAATATGCTTGGGTTGAACAGATTATGTTATAAAGGATGTACCCAGAGAAGTACATCCTCACTAATTCTAAACACCTTCAAATAAAAATAACACAATTGTACTGGAACTATAGAGTTGTATATTGCCATTTCCTGATTAAAAACCTGTTCATTGGCATAATTTTCATAGTTTTTCATTCAGAGCTCAAGTAGCTCTATTACCTGTGAGAGAGGCACTTTATGATCACTGCTTGTTGGTCTGTTCTGCTCTCTAAAAGCCACCTCATCTGACCTTGTTAATGATAATGTGTGTTTTTAGGTCAGAGGAAGCAGAGGAGATGTCATCTGCTAGGAGATAAAAGCAAAGGGGTTTCCCTTCAAATAACGATTTACCCGCCCCGTGAGCGCTGTTTAACGCCACTCAGCATCCCCTTTAACATTATACTAGAGTCCAGGAGAGTCCTGCTTCATGTCCCATCGATGTTCAACCGCTTTTTGAAGTCATTAACACAAACGGGTCATTAAAGTGGTACAGTTGGGGACTGGTCACTCTCAAAATTGGAACCAATGGAAAGATTTTATCCTGTGTTCACTCGGCGGCTGCTTGATGCTAAAACATAATTTACTTTTTTTTACCTCACTCCGATACACTCACACAGTTAAACTGAGCAGTATGGCTGGACATAAGCTTTAATCATCCACCGTGAGAGATAACACCTATTATTTCTACATTTTCCTGGTCTGTTTGGGTAATTGAATCAGCAACCTTTGGTCAGGAGACAAATTCTGTTCACTTTAGGACCGGAGCGGGCGTGTTTGAGGGTAACCTTTCAGGGACTCTGCTCGTTCTGCAGAGCGACTGGGGGTTGGCTCTCTCTCACCTCTTGTGGATGTTGATACAGTAATCAGAGTCATCCTGACTGGATCACTGGAGCAATCCAGACAGCAGACTCCACATTAATCTCACCGTGTCTGTGTGTGTGCGCCTGGCATTACTCACAGTGGACCGAAACCTGTTTACACACTCACACTGTGAGGACCCGGCCTTCCTCGTGGCGCCCCCGCCCCTGACCCCCATGAGGACGATTTAAATGTGTGTGCATGTCTGTGGCCTGGTATTACTCATGTTGTGGCCACGATAATCTGCACAGTCACATTGTGGGAACTAGATGTCCCCAAAACGTTAATCATTACATTTTACAGTGATGACTTAAGTCTCCAGGTAATAAATGCAAGTCAATACAATGTCCCCTGAAGTTATGAAAGCATAGCGTGTGTATGCGTGCATGTAAGTGTTAATTGATAGTGTTTAAGAATAAATAATAATTAAATATATAATGACGCTGTTTGAATGAATGGAACTTGATTTCAGACATTAAAGACATTAAAAGCAAAGGACATGCAGTTAAGCATATAATGATTAAAAAAAACAAAACAACTCATATTTACTGTTTATTTAGTCATCAATATTTTTGGATTTCTGGTTGTTGTTTTTATACAAACAGAGCTGAAATGATTTGGTGAATAACTGATTTGGGTTTCAGAAAGTGTGAATGCCAGTTTTCTGTTGTATTTTTTTACATTGATATGCAAAAAAATCGACTAATCAGAATAATTGTTGAAGCATAGATGTTACATGTGTGTGCATTTATTTCTCATTTGTTATTGAATATAATGAACCTAATGAAGATTTTCTGTGGTAATTGACCCCCCACCCCCCAAAATGATTTAAGGATTCCGAAACTATTTATATAACACTAAACTTAATAGTGCCTGAAGGACAACAGCTCTACTTATGATTCTATATTCTTTGCCCAGGTGGTGAGTCGTGTCGCTGCCCAGCAGGGGTTTGACTTGGACCTGGGCTACAGGTTGCTCGCTGTGTGTGCTGCCAACAGGGACAAATTCACCCCCAAGTCTGCAGGTAAGACCCACTATGTTTCTAAAATGCCAGCAGCTGCATGTTCATACATCATCTCATTTACTGCTGTTGACTTGCAAAACAGTAGATGATACAAAGCTAATTGTTCTTCATGGTGCAATGATTCACTTTTTCACTGAATAAAACTTGTGGTCATGATCAAATCAGGAATGTACGCCATGTTGCTGCCAAAAACGCACAGAGACGCTGCTTGTCATGTCCTGAGCACTAATCGGATAGTCTGTTGGCAAGAAACGCTTTCATAATTATACTAAGCCAGTTTAATTTGCAAAGCCTTTTGTTCAATAAAAACAAATAAGTGTCTGTTAAAGTTACCGTGAATTTGTGGTTCGAAAATTTTGGATTTCTACAAACAACTGCAGCCACAGACATCACGCAGAAAGCCCATAGAGCATTGTAATGTCAGATATTTTTAGTTCCCATTAAACATTAACGTGCTATTGAGATGAGCTGTCCAGGTGGTAGCCTCACAAAAACAGTCTGCTCAACAGTCTTACCACACAAACCCACACTCTTAACGTGCAGTGTCTGCATGCACACACAAATGAAGTGAGAGAGAGAAAGCTCGAGCAGTAATGCTTTCCTCAGACATTTATCTATCAAATTCGATTTCCTCTGATCCATACCTCCTCACAGCCTTCCCACAGTCCTGCAGTACCAGCCTGATTCTTGTACATTTGTCAAAGTGAAATGTGCAGAGGTGGGAGAGAGAAAGAGACGGATGGCTGGAGAGGTGTCGCTGATGTGTGCTGGACAACTCACTCTGCCTGACAGAGACCTGACAAAGCCATAGCCAGCCAGTCAAACACAGATAAAGCTTTGTTTGGCAGTTACATAAAGTGGGAGTAGTAGGAGTTAAATATTTTTGATTAAATTGTTTCATTTCTTCTTGTTGTTCCTTGACAGGGTGAATATGTCACTATTTCAAAACCTGAAGCGCGGTGAAAGTACTGACATTAACGCTGTGAAATCCTATCCCATAATTCCTCATACGAGCTGCAGTGTGTTGCAACTGAATATGCAGAAGGCAGTAATGTATCAGTTTCTGCTTTTTGCTCACATGGTCCTCTGCTATGAAAATTTGCTCAAGATGAATATCCTCTTTCAGTTGTGGTGGGAAGTGTCTTGTTGGGAGGAACTTAAGTGGGCAGACAGACGTCAGTGTGCAGTATTGATTGCTGTAGTTCTCCCTCTGTCTGTGTTCCTGTGTTTGGATAATGTGATTGTTGTCCAGGCATGGCTCAGCCTGGCTGGCTGTCTGGGCCAGACTGACAGTCAGAATCATCTTCAGGCCTGCTGATGGTTCTGAGATCTAATAGAAGGCAGCACTGTATTTCAGGAAGAGTTGTTTATGTGCAGCAGACAAATGAGAACTGTAGTGTAATTATGCGCAGTGGGGGAGAGGAATGGAAGCTAGGATGTGGCCAGTCATCAAACGAGACAGGCGGGCTGTTGGGGTGGGAGGCAGATGTGACTCAGGGCAGATCTTACTCACTGAGCATCCGTCTTACCTTCTTTACAAGGACATCGGTCTGAGAAAGCAGACGGGAGGGCGACAGTGGAGACGTAATGCACACTTGAGCTCAGAGATATGTGCATGCGCTCTCACAAATGCATCAGCAAAGATGTAGAGATGCATTTGGCTTTTTGCCTGTATGTTGTGCATTTTACAGCCTTTGTGTATGTGTCGTTGCATGCATCAATGTGTGTCTAATTGTGCAACCCCAGCAAAATCTTCTGAGAGCCTGCATGGCGACAGAGGACCGCATGTCTGACACCCGAGAGCCCAGGCGAGGGCCAAGGAGTCTGGGATGCTCTCTGCGGGCTGCTCAGGCAAACTCTTAAGACAGCAGATCAATCACACTGATGCTTTCTATCAGAGCATCAGTTAAAGTGGAAATTGATTAAGCAAATATTGCTACCCTTCTTTTTTTTTTTTTCTAACAGTTTGACAACTTGGTTCATTGCAAAATTAACCTTTTTGGCACTTTTACATCTCCAAAAAGACTTTTTTTAAGATTGTCTTTTTGTATTAGTGCTCCAAGTAAGAGAACCCATGAACAAAGTACAAATCCCTTCAGTTGCTCTTTTACTGATATAAAAGAATAAATTATTGCCCTAGAGAGATTTTCAGCAATAGCAGGCTGCTGCCGATGAGCTTTCTGGAGATTGTGACCCTACAGTGAGGCCTGGAGGATTAGTGTTGCTCTAATCTGGAATCAGCCAGTGAGGAGACTTATCTGCTGTTAGCCATGGTTGCATTGGCACTATTACCTACTGTATACAACTTTAAGGCTGTTAGCATATTAGCAGCTGGTTCAAGAGTTTACTCCCTTGAAAACAGCGACTTCCAGGTTTAAATGTTTGTGTAGCCATACTTAATCAATGCTTTTCGTCAAAGGCTGTTTTTTAAGATCTGTAGTCCATTTCTAAATCTTCTTAGAGTTTATTTTCCTCATAGTAATCTCTAGTCTGCTACAAAGCAGACTTCCAACTGAGAGGTTCAGCTCCTCAGACACACAACCTAGAGACTATGAGCTGTTGGGCTCCTGTTAAGTTCAGCAGACAACAAATCAGATTATCTGCATAATCTGTCGAGGGTTTTTACTGTTTTCTACTTCAGTTAATTTACCCCTCTGTCACAAAACTCATAACGGTTTGCCGTCTTTCTTTATGAAGCTAAGTCCCAATAATAAAGGTACAAAATGGTCACAAGTTATTTCCAGTTTATATCACTTTCTCACCCCATCTACATCGGTGTCCCCTCCTGCTACATTTTAATTAAATGAAAGCAATGTGACTCAGATTGTTTTGAATGTGTTTTATGCTTTCAACATGACTTGACATGCTCTGTGTTAAAGGTAGCTGCTCCCTGGAATGACTGCAGTGATCTTACTTTAATGTTTAAGTCAGACACAGGTCGTTGCTTGTTGATCCTCAGTCTTGCTCAAACAAACAATAATTTAGTCATTTTTGTTGGCATCACATGATATGAGAATTCACACACGCTCAGCTGTAGTCGTGAATAGTTACAGTTGTGGTAAGGGAGGATGAAGTGATTTAAAAGAAATCCCTTCTATCTACACAAGTGATAATTGTGCTTGATGTTTTCTTTATGTGTCAGTTTCCCCTTCTCAGCTGATTGAGAAGGAGCTTTTGAAAAACAGTTGGGAAAAGATGATGAAAAGAGCTCATCTATGTACTAGATGGTTGGTAAATTTCCCCCACCCACTCACATCTGACATTAAAATGAAACTGTCCCAGCAGAACTGCAGAATTTCTCAGCACTTGGTCTGTCGACTGTTAACAGGGTGAGCTGGTGCTGCACATCAGGAAAACAGCCACTCCGCTGTGTCAACAGTGACAGAAACCTTCCAGGGTGTGGTTGTAGCTCACCCCGTGTCTTGTGAAAGACGTAAAGTGCTTCAGTTCAGACTCATTGCACGGTGTATATGTGCGCGCACACACACACACACACACCTTCTCTGTCTGCACCAGTTTGACATGTCTTCCACTTATCTGTCTCAATTTACTTTCAGTTGATTGATTTTCTCACCCTGTCTTTCTTTCCATTTTTGAGCTGTGTGTGTAGAACCAGAGGAAGGTGTAGGCATCCTTTGTTACTGACCCAATCAACCTTACAGACTTTTATATTTAATTACTGCTGAGTAGGAGTAGTGCACTGAATTATTAACAGGAAACAGGGCTTATTTTTAGCAGGCGGGCCTCTCCTCTGACACTCTCCTGTGGTCGCCTTAGATGATGAAACCCCTTTGCAACCCAAATCCAACTTCACGATTAGGTTTATTGAAATAAAACTCACAAGGAAATGCTTATTAGTGTAGCTGCATTTGCTACACTGATTGGGTCCTCTCTCACTTTCTGCTTAATTGGCTTGGTTTCATTTTGGTAATATCCCAGCTAAGCTGGTGGTGCAGTTGTAGTCCAAACACAGAAAACTTTGTTCTTGTCAAAAACTAGATGAGCAAATGATTTTGACTGATCTGGTGTTCGCACCTGTTGCGTTCACCAGTTCTTGTTACCATGCTAACTCTGAGAGACGAGGCAGTCCAAGTAACTTCAAAACAGTGCTGATTTATTCAAAGGATCACAGGTAAAATTAACATTACACACTCAGGTATCTTGCACCTCCAAACTGCACGCAGGCAGATGTAAGATGAAAGACCCTGAACCCACCAGGCCTATACATTATATCCCCTCGGTTGGGCTAGCCCCATGCTACACAGAAACGTCAACCGAGACGTCTCTGGTACCAGCTTTGCAGCTGGTCATAGCACTAGTCAAAACATGAAGCAAATCAATGTGCGTGTGTGTCTGTTGATTAAGTGGTGTGTAACTAAAAACATTCTCACACGACCTCTAGTACATGTCGTGACATTAAACATAAGAACATATTATGGCTAAGGCTACAGTTATACACGTCATAATAATAATATTAAACACCCTGTCTGCTGACAGTCATCAACTCTTCTCTCTAGTTATCCTTGACCAGATGTACCCTGTAGAAACTCATAAGCATGACTAAGCATTTAACAGTCTAACTAGACATCCTATCTCCACTAAACATTTCTAATACATAAAGTATCTATCCAATTTCTATCTGACTAAAAATACCTAACACACCTCTGGACTTAACCACCACCAATCATCCTCCAGGGGCTTTTGACACACCCTGTTCAAGTTATGTTTCTGCCCAACAATGCCTCTGTTGTTTGCGTTTTAATTCAGTGTTGGATGTTTGTAAAACTGTTGATGACCGAATGGGGCTGTCACAGAAAAGCCAAAGACAACTTCCCTCTGCTGTCAGAAGGCCAGAGGGCAGAGAGAGAGAGAGAGAGAGCATTGACAGCTTAGGGTTGTACAGTTTATTCATCCAGATTGTTATTTTTGCCGTTTTTGGGTTATATTAGGGCCAAGTGAAGAGAGGATGAACCCACGACCTGCCTCTTCTTAACTCACTT